GCGTAACGGGTGGCAAATAAATAAGGGTTCTCAATGCGAAAATCGGGAACGCGAGTCGCGGAATATCCGGTAGTTTGGGCGTTGCGCTACTGTCAGCAGGACCGCTTATAAATTCTAATAAACTCGGCTCGTGCTCGGAGGAAAACACGGTGAATCGGTGGGGAATTGTCGCGAAGTCGGGGGGAGAGAGATACGCGCGCCGACGACGACTTTGAACAAGGGAATACTGCCAGTAGCAGATATAAATCTCGCCTAACCGAATTAAGTTAGAAGCATGGACCCAAGTTTTGCCACGCCCACGCCGCCGATGAAATGCTATCGAAACTGAGTCTGCGTGGTGAAAATCGAGAATATGAAAGCACGCTGGTGTAACCAATCCAATATGTACCAAGGAGGAAATTCAATAACGAGAAGATACATCGCGAATACGTGTCAATTAGATAAAAATGTCGAAAGTGTAGATAGCAAGCAGTTTGGAATTATGTGATTGTTATACAATTTAAAATGTAAGAAATTCAACTTTAACAACTTTAATCGTAAAGGTGGCCTTATCGTGACTATTCTACACATCTTAATCCGCAATCTACAACACTCCGCCGTGGTCGGTCCGGCGCGCGGCGCGACTCGGGCGCTATAATTTATCGCGGTTTCAATTTTTGTTCAATTCAATGTGCGATCGAGTCCGAGTTCACTTGTTAATGCGTCCGTTCGTCTGAATTATTTTCTGCTTATCGACGCCCGCCGAGGCTAACGCGTACATCCCTCTCTCCGGGCCACCCTTGGGTGGCTTGGCAAGTGTCTCACGTAATGATGTCCTGACGCGTGCCGTTTCGCAGCATGGGGTCCCCGCGACGATCCGTTCGCGACTTAACTATTTATTACCAGCCGATGCTCAAAGAAGGGACCAAACTACTAGGCCAGTCTCTTACGCACGTATTATGCGGCAAATAAGTCATGCGTTTCCGAGGGATAATTCCTCCTCCCTCGCTTATTTGCCAAGATTAATTGGCTTACGCACAACCCCCGATCACGGGGATTGTCGGAATTGTGGGAATCCACGTGCGAATTTGCAGTCTCTCTGCAATCTCTTGTTGTATTTCATCGTTGCATTTATTTTATTGGATATTTCCCTATATGTATGTATATATTAACATGTAAAAGTTGAAAAAAATCTTGAAATATTAAACAAGTTTTCTATGCAGCTATCGCGATGCATTTAATTATCATTAAATTATCTACTTTATCAATATTGTATCTTTGTAATAAACGCAATCAGAGAGTTGATGTAATACGGCCAATACGTTTCTTCCCGCATTGCGGAAGGTTTTATAAAAGAAAAGTATTGCAAGAAATAGGAAACTATTAAAAAAATCACATCACTTTCTTAGGGTCTCATGTATGAATAGAGAGTTGCCATGTGTGTTTTTAAATTTTATAAAAACGTGCGTCATTTGTCATAAAGAATATTTGATAAACCGTAGTGTCTCTAAACCAAGTAGCACCTGAAACAATAGGCAAGAGTAAAAAAAATTTATTTCTGTCACTCAACATCTCTATAAGTAAAGTTGTCATACTTAATTTGCGATTTAATGATTTTTCCTAATAAATTATGACATTTATGATTTATTTGCAATGTACCATTTCATTGTGGCGAGGAGAAATTCCTTCTATTTGATGTTACAATATACCAGGAATCGGTGGTAATTTTGCGGAACTATGTAATGACCATTTACACATTCGCGCACAGTTCGATAACGCAGCGCTAATAATAACACGAAAATTATATAGCCGTAAATTATTTAGGTATTTCATTATATCCTCCGATATTGCGCTTACGCAACAGCCACATTGGAGTCATCTTTCCTGTGCATAATATCACGTTACCACAAGTAATGAGATTTCACTGCATATCGCTATTATCATTCTATTAGTACCTGTATACGCACGTGCAATTCTATCCTTTTCTTTTTTAGACTATGTATTATTTTAGGTTTTATTTAAACCTGTCATTCCCTTTTATATGTATTCTACACATGAAAATGATAATCTTTTATTTAATAGAAATTGCCGTTATTTTTAAGAAAAGATTAATATCGAATGCATACTATTTCAGTATGTATTCATCATTAGTATTGCATATTATATATGTCAGTATCATAATTATTATTATATTATGAGTTTATTTCACTAATCTATGTTTCATCACATAATTGCACTATAAACTAAATTATTGCATTCTCGCGCGATCATGTTATTTCTTTTTTGATTTTTGCATATATCGCTCATTAGAGACTTTTCAAACAGTATAATGCATATAGAGAGTAATCTAAATTTAAAGTTTGCAAACGGCATAGAAGAATGCCGTTTTTCATTATAAATCGTACGATAGATGTAGATGAACATCCAAAGCAATAAACATCCAATATATATCAAATATATCTACGAGAAACGTAACAATGAATGCATCAAGACATGCCGACGCTGGGAACAGAGGAGAAAAGTCGCATTGAAAAGCATTGTCGACCAAGTCCGTAAAGGAGGATCGATGATGCTGTGTGAAGGTGTCGTTTCGCAGCATCGGGATTGGAAATCGGGTATCCGGATTATCCTTTGGCATCTGCTGGTATATATCACAGGACGCTGCTGAGTTAGAGTAGTAGCGGGGTATAAGAAAGGGGTGCAACGGGGCTGCATTGCTGAAGCAGCGGTAGCAGCAAGACGCGGTAGAAGAGGATCCTTTATATGATCGCCTTGGTTCAAAGAAGCGAGGAACTCTGACAGAATGCTCTCTCTCTCTCTCTCTTCTCTCTCTCGGCATTCTCCTTTCCTTTCTCCTTTCCTGTCTTGCCACCACCTCCATCTTCTTCTCCTTTTCCTCCTCCTCCTCCTCCTCCTTCTCCTCTTCCATACTTCCTTTATTGGCACACCCGGTATAATAAGGAGCGAGTTTGTATTTAGTCGGCCATGCGCAGTACTGCCTGTTGGCGTATCATCGATCAGACTGGCGACTGACTATTGGACCAAAACAAGAGGATGAGAATGGAAATGGAGATAAAGAGAGAGTACCGACTAACAGAAAACATAATGGAGGAGATATTAGGAAAAGTAAGAAGGGCAAAACATTCTGAGAGGATTTTCACGGAGGGACACAGAGACCGCGATTATCTGTCAGAGTTAGACAAACTTATCTTTTAAATAGAAAAAATTTTTTGAAAAGTAGCAGAAGACGATTATTCTTATTTAACAAATAAGACGTAAAATTATTTGTTATTGTAGTAATTATTTATTAATCTGTCAAATGTTTTACCAAACTTTACCTCATAAACTTTTGCTGCAACCTAACAATAGTGCTCATTAGTATCATATTTCTTAACAACTTTGCAATAGCGATTATTAGATTTCAGAAAGAGTTTTAAGGAATCGGAAAAATCTTATTAATCATATCGCACAAAATAGAGTGATGGCGGAAGAGATGCAAAATTAAAAATTGTCCAGTGTTGTGTTCGTTTCTTTTCTTTAAGATCCGCGCAAAAGCATGATATATATTGTATATATGTATATATATTATATATATATATATATATATATATATATATAATATATATGTATATATATAAATGATAAGATAGGGTGACACTCTCTGTCCTAAGGATAATTGGAGATCTTGTTACTTCCCACCGGTGACTTCAATTTGAGATCGACCGATAATGAGATATTGAATCCTGATTCTCTATCTTTGGGCTTTTCTCTCTCTCTCTCTCTGTTCTCTTTCTCTTCCTCTTCCTCTTTGATTACCTAGCATCTTAGCTGATGTTTCATAGCTTTCTTGGCTTACGTTCAAATATCAAGGCAAATTTTGTGCGCGTGTATGCACGTGTGTGTTGAATATCTCCCAACTCTTATTAAACACCCTCTTGCTTTTCAGTGCGGCAGTACCAATGTTATCATGTTTCAATGAAGAGATGAAAAGGTGTATGATCTGTTCGTTTACGAATTTGATGTAGCTAATATATTTTATCTGATTTCTTTTATTTATTGTTATAGAAAAAATAATACTAAATGTTTTTTTGTTAAAAGTTAGAATATATGTAGTACAAATTGATATCCAAATTTTTTTAAAGAAAAGTGACTAACGCGTTGGTTTGCATCGATATATTTGTGTGTAAATCGTAAAAAACGTGTTCGTTGAAATCTAAGCGGAAGATAATTTTGGGGTGGCAGGTCAAATTGACAGGGCGACGCGTTCCTATTCATTCAAATTACGCACCAATTCTGTCGGTGACTTTGGCATTGTTGCTGTAAATTGGTCCACGCCCTAGCCTCCGGTCACCCGCTTCTGCTAGGCGTACATGCGCTTGCGAAACGAATGGATGTATCCAGTTTTTTAAATAACATCCTGTGTGGAACGTGGAACTACATCATATATATATATATATATATATATATATATATATATATATATAATCTGTTAAACAAATGTATATTTGTCAAATAAAGTAATACTTATTATTCTTTGAAAACGATAGTCCATTACATGGAAGTGTGTTGGAGAACGCGACACGCGTCTTCACCATAGGAGGTCGAATAAGCGGGATTGCTAACAAGTAGTCTAAAGAGCATAAAAAATGGGATAGCATTTTTCGACGAGGTCGTTTAGGCATGATAATTAACTCTAGAACAGCATTGTGGCGCGTGTCGTGCAAGTGCTAATTGGATGAAGTAACTGATCATTTAGAATAATTATATAATATTCTAACTAAGGGTGATAGTATAAGCTAGAACACTAATGTATAAATATTTTTTAACTGTAGTGCACACACGTACACACATATAAAATTAATCAGAAATTTTAATCACTTTGTTGTTTATATATTGTTCTTGTAAATATAAACTCTTAATTAAGATATTAATGATAAAATTTGTTGTCATTTACGACGTAATTTTACGTTCTTTGTCACATAACATAAAAAATTATTTTCTTAACTATCAATTTTTTTCAGGTTTGGTTTCAAAATCGGAGAGCAAAATGGCGCAAGACAGAGAAATGTTGGGGCAGAAGTACCATAATGGCAGAATATGGTCTATATGGAGCGATGGTCCGACATTCCTTACCACTTCCGGAAACGATTTTAAGAAGTGCCAAGGAAAATGAATCCGTTGCACCATGGTTATTAGGTAAGAGAAAACATCTTTAATAAAAATCTTAAATTAATAACTTTGACAAGTTAAGTATACAACATGTGTATATACATATATACCATTTTTTTAAACTTGAATCTAAAATTATTTTATTATCGGGACGGAAACTCAACAATTTATCTTATTATAATTACATCCAAGTTTCTCTCTCTGTCTCTCTCTCTCTCTCCCTCTTTCTCTTTCTCTTCCTTTCTCTCTCTTTCTCTCTCTCTCTCTCTCTTTCTCTTTCTCTCTCTTATCTATAAGACTGAAATCTAATGCAATCTTATCCATAAGATTGCATTAACAATGATGACTTGGTACTACCAAAAAAAATCGATTATTTAATGTCTAAGAAAATATATCTGTAAAAATATAGAAATAACGTAATGTTTACGCGTATAAGAAATTTCTATTTTTAAACTTTTTAATTTATTAATTATCTTTGTAGACAAAACTAGACATTAAATAATTCTGAACTATATTTTCATATTTGATTAAAGCAAATTTTATTCTATTATTATCAAACACCGGATAACATCTACTTTTTTGTTCCGATAAGATCACTTAAGCTAAAGCGGCGGGACAAATTCCGAATATTTTTTCTGTTGGTTTTTATCAGCTCAATCATCTAAGACAAGCAGCTTTAACCAAGATTTCGAATATAATCAAGAACTGATTGACTGTGGACCTGTAGGGATGCATCGGAAATCGCTCGAGGCAGCAGAGCATCTCAAATCTGGCGGAGAGGACAGCGGCAATGATCAAAACGGAAGCGGAAGCAGTCCCCATCATAATCACCATCAAGGAGGACCAACCAGTTCGGAGAGTGGACAGGAGAGTCAGGATGGTATGGGACCTTCGTCATCTACTAGTAAGTCCTAGTTTACTTAAATAACAAATACGCGACAGATTTATATAGAAATTTTATGTAATAAAATACTTTAAAATAAAAGTTACGTTGCAATATGTTGGTAATAATAGAATTTACAAACCACAGTTTACATAAAAGGAGTTTACATAAAAATTTTGACATATCTTTCTGCGAACATATCTTTCTTAGAGTTTATAATAGATATTTATTACTAATAAAAAGTTTTATTAACACTTTTTCTTATTATAAATAAAATTTTAAAACGTGATAAAAAGAAACATAATTTTATGTAATATATAATAAAATAAAATAAGAAAATTTACAAAAAGTGTCTATTCTATGAAAACTTAAAAATTTCAAAATCTATCTATTTTAAAACTATTTCAAGACTATCGACACACTTTGCAAAGTACTATAGACATGGATACAATGATATGTGTTATCGTGTTTACAGGTGTCGTGCAGGATACGGAACAACTCAGAAACGAAAGTATTGCCTGCTTGAGGGCGAAAGCACAGCAGCATCAATTGCAATTGAGTCTGCAACCAACATCAACGCCTCCAAGTGGATCGTATCCGTCGGCACCGCAGTCAAGCACGCTACATACTTCTGTTTAATCGCGAAAATACAAACTCTTTTTCTGATAGTTCCGTGTCCGATATTTTTGCTGATGATGCGGAATCCTGTCCTGCCTGGAGGACTGTCGTAGATGAATCGGCAACACCGATTTCAAAATCAGTGATATTTTTTTAATGAATATCTCGGCGAAGATCGGTCCTCTCGAAATATATAAGAATCTTTCTGAGATCACTTCTATGATTAATATCGCAGCCAGACTGCAACAATGACGTCGATTGAACAAATTTCTCATGGTGAAAGATCTCGGATTGTTCCGTCACGATTCTAATGTTCTACGTTCCTCGCGTCATCATTCAAGCACAGTTCTAAATTTTTGTGACTGCAATTAATTGCGATGCAGTGTTAATCGTAAAGCTCGAAGATACCCACGAGATATATATGTATAATATATATATATAATATATATATATATATATATATATATATATATTATATATATTATTATATAATTACAACGAAGCGTGATAAACCGACAAATTGAGCGCCTGATTTGCTTTATACAAGTTTGCATGTCTCGCGCAGCAATCAAGCAGACCTATAGATCGATACGGATTTACATAATCCTCCGCAACGACTTGACGTACAATGACGAAAGTGGTGTCTCCATGTTGTGTTTTGAAAAAAGAAACAAAATGAGATTGGAAAATACCGCGGAATAAACAATGAAATTAATTATTAAGCTTAAATCTCATCAACGAAATAATAGCCTACTGATGATCTGTATAACAATAAACAATAAAAGATTATCGATCAGGGAATCCTGTCGTTGACGAATGCAAGAACGAATACTTATAAAGAAAGATTTTTCCGGAAAAAAGTCGACGATGAACAAGGCTTAATTAATCAGTCCGGTCGATTAATTTAATGGACTGGCAGATCGAGAGCAAACGGAACTACCTAATTAGAGTATAATTGCTTTTAATAGCACGATTGTGTGTCTGTACGCATGTGTTTTGTGTGTGAGCGTATGCGTGTGTGCGCAGGTGTAAATGCGTGCGCACCTGTATGCATGTGTGTATATGCGAAAAAAAAGAAATCGAATGAAGAGTGTGAGAAACTTGAAGATTTTTTGTCTTCAGAATATTAACCTGCAACGAATGTTGAACAACGCAAAGCATAAAAAATAAAAGCATAAAAGAAAGAAAAAGAAATTGTGGAATGCATTGCAAGATTACAAAATATATGATTACACATCGAAGAAAAACGAAGACTTTTACGGTACACATATAAAAAATGCCCTCAAGATTTACAAGTTTAAAATAATATGCAACCATTGAAAGTTGATTCGATTGTGTTAAAATCATGTGTATATGTGAGATAAAGAGAGATAGTATATGCATGTAGATGTGTACGCGTTAAACAAAGTGAGAGAGAGAGAGTGAGAGAGAGAGAGAGAGGGGGGGGGGGGGCGGGGTGCAAGTCAAAAATTTATTAGCGAAGACTTCCTATATCCAAGTACTTAAGGAGAAACGTAACTGTTGTCAAATGTGCAATATATCGATATAAGTTCTAGTTCGATAAGATATATTATACTTTAGTAACGGATACGTCTATGCAAGGCATCTACGACGGCATCGGTGTCTCGTTGGGCGATTGTTATAAACTACAATATATGTCCTTCGAAAATTGTATGAAATGAAAGCTGAAGGAATATTGCACATCTAATTCTTATGCTTTCCATTTTTGCTGCGAATAAACTTATCCCCGCGTTGCACCGTGCGTCGTTTCGGGACGTTCGCCTCTTGTACATAAATATATAAATAAAAAATCTATATATACACATGCGCAAAAAAAATGACTAAAATTAAATCGTGGTTGCGAGACACACTGAGCCGGACAAAAATTTTTCCGCGAATTTGAACAATTGAGAATTTTTAAAATTATTAAGTAAAAATAATAAAAAAACAAAATACTTGGTTTATTATTTTACTATTAATTTTCTGCAAAACATATAAAAATGTTAATTAAAGCGGTACGATAATCTTAAATTGTTTTCTTCTAATTGCAATAATTACTTACTCAAAATGCTTGCTGAGAATTGTATGATTTGATGTAAAATTATATCGTTATGTGTGCCACGTATGTTTGTTTTGTTTATTTGAAAATCAACACACAGATCTGAACAATAAAGAGATTTATATAAAAAGATTTGTTTAACTTCTACAATATGGCAATTTGTTAAGAAACTATTTACTGACATATTTAATTACATTTAATTACATTTAAAATATAAATTTGAATTTTTGCAAATATGACACAAATCATCGAATCATAAATTTTTTTCGAGCGATGCGTTTCGTCTGGCTGAGATCTATCAAGTTATACACATAACGTAACATATTATAATTTAAAAGACTCGATCATGGGAAACGAAGTAACAACACATTCTCTAGAAGAAAAAAACAACTTACGAGTAATAATGGAAGTGACACTGCTGTTATTGTGAAAACACTTAACGATGGACTTTGGATCTGCAGCGAATTCTCTGTATCCGAATGCTCCAACGCATGCATAGTAGTCGGCTAGTATACGTAATAAATAAAATTTCTGAACAAATACGTTTTTATTTTCATTGCCCCACTTACATTTTACGACATTATTTCGCAAAACTGTCGTTTCTGTTTCAAAATATTATTACGTATTACGAGATTGACGTAATAATTGATTCTAAAATAATTTTATTAAAGTATAACGCAAAAAAAGTAATATAGAGAAAGATTATTATAATTATAAAAATGCTTTCTTCCTGAGAACATAATTCTAATTTTCTAAATTAAACAATGCAATAACCTTTAAAAATAAAGAGATTAACTACATTTTTTATGTTAATCTCTTTATTTTTAAGGGTTATATTGCATGTTTAGTGCAATGCGTTTGATATTTATATATAAATATATGTAATCTAAAAAATTGTTTTAACATAATTCTATTATGTTAGAAGTTTGATTTTTTATAATCCAGTGAATAAAATAAGTAACTTTAAAAGAAATCTATCTTATTGATTAAAAAATTTTGGTAGAAAAAACAAATTATACATTAATAATTTTGACGATACATAAAATTTACATTTTACTGGTATCAGTTAGTATCACTTAACTGTGCATCTTCAAAAACGTTCAAGCTAATTTAACATATCTGATATAAAAAATAAATTTAATTCAATAGGCTATACGTATATATATTATTTTTGCTACAATAAATTTTATAAAATAAAGAATAAAAATATCAATAATAAAATAAATTTTTAGTTAACCGAAAACATATAGCGAATTAATAGAAAAATGATTTAATTAATTGGCATTCAAACTTTTATGTAAGGAATTTCAATGTTCTGCCAGTTAACTGCTTCCGAAATACTAAAAGTTTGATTTCCTATAAATTGTAACGAAACAATACGAGTCGAATTAATACAGATAGTTAGATAGTTAGAAAACTATGTTACACTAGCTTTGCGTCGTTAAAGCTATTTCCGATTGTAGAAGTAAAAAGTTATTAAAAAATATGGTTAGAAGAGTTTGCCGTATAGTAGTCGACGTTTTATAAACTTTTGCACTTTTGTAAATATTCAGTATTGATGTTCTTGTTCCTCGGAACATAGCTACTTTGCAGAAATCAATGTCCAATTAATATATCGATATAACATGTTGATATCACACACACACACACACACAC